ATATATGTTTTAGTATTTAATGATTTAATTGATAAATTTAATTTGAATATATATATTTTAAAATTACCTTGATAATTATAATTATTTTTTTGGAACATGGTTTTTTTTTTGTACATGCCTTAATTGTTATGATTAAATATACTTATATGTTTTTATGAATTAAAGAATTTTTTTTTATGAATTAAGGTAGAAAAAAATAAATAAACGAATACGGTGATTTCACATAATGGATGCTTACATAACAAAATATTATTTTATAATCAATAATAGATTATATACATATATATATATATTATAAAATGAAGTAAATAAAATAAAACATAGACATATTAAAAGAAAATTTCAAATATGTAACGCAGTTGTAGACTGGAACGGAGCATTCCAAAATTGGAACAGGACATTCCAAACTACTAAAACAAGGATGATTTAGTAGCCCAGAATAGGTCGTTCTCAAACTGGAACGGGCCATTCCAGACTACTAAATAGGCCTGTAAATCCTAGTTGAGAACGGGTCATTCCAAACATGATTGTTGGGAGTTAAATTCAACTCCAGAACGGGCCGTTCTGCATGTGAATTTTACACAAGACGAAGGAGCCTAGAACGGGTCATTCCGAATTCGAAACGGGCCGTTCTGGTCACTCTTAACCTCTATAAATAGGCGTTGAGGAGGGGGAGAAAAGGGGAACTTAGAGAAAAGTTTTAGAGAGAAGTTTTAGAGAGAATGACTCTAGGCTAGGAAGCTTGCTTTTGGAAGATTGAGGTTCCCGGGTTGAGCTTTAGAAGGAAATTCCGCTTCTTCTCAGCTCTTGGCAATGCTGAGTCAATCTTCAGGTTAAGGGAGCTTCATGCATTGTTTTCCTTGAAAATGGTTAAGTTGTTGGGTGTGGATTGAGTTAAAAAGTTGGGTTTTGTTGTTTGAAAGAAAAAAGATGATTGATTTAAATTAGTGGTTGCATGTAGCTGTTCTTGTATTTTAGACGTTGTTTATAACGTGGTTAAGTTGCTAAGTTGCTTGATGAAGATGAGTTGAGTAGTTGTTGACTTACGTTGTTTATATGTTGTGTGTTGATAATATGTGATATGTTGTTAAATTTGCTATATGTTGTGTGTTTGGTGAAACTAAGTTGTTTTTATGTTGTTTATTGTTGAATTATTAATAAGTTGAGATGTATAAGTTGAAGTAGTTCATTGTTGTAAAGTTGATATTATGTTGAGTATAGTTTTTTAATTAAGTAGTATAAAGATGTCTATTGCTGTAAAGTTGTAAGTTGTCTATCGTTGTAAGATGTTTATTGTTGTAATGTTGTAAGTTGTCTATTGTTGTAAGATATTTATTGTTGTATTGTTGTAAGTTTCCTATTGTTGTAAGATGTCTATTGTTGTATTGTTGTAAGTTGCTTATTGTTGTAAAGATGCCTATTGTTGTAAAGTTATTATGATGCCTATAGTTGTAAAGCTGTAAAGTTGTTTATTGTCGTAAAGTTGTAAAACTGCCTGTTGTTGTAAAGTTGAAAAGTTGTGGACATATGGTGAAGATATATGTCCTATGTTGAGATACATAGTACTAAGGAGATAAGTTGAAAGTTATTTTAAAGTTGAATCCTTTATACTATGTGGGCGACATGGAAGTAGTTGATCCATATCATGGTTGAATGACCAATTTGAGTAAGGTATCTAGCTAGAGATGTAGTCTTTGACTAGGTACTGGAGGGTGTGTGGTACTTAGAGGACAGTGGGTGGGCTAACTCCATATGTGGATTGGTGATGCTAGCCAAGGCCGTGATAGGCTCATACCCAAACCCTTCTGTCCTGACAGTAGTACTGGACCTCCGAGTCTAAGTGGCACACCTGAGCAATCGCTTATTGTTGTCTATACCTGATTTTCTTCAAAGTTCCTAACGATGTCCTATACCTGACCTGGTTGAAATAGGTCAAACGCTGGATTCAGTAGAGTTTATGTCACCTAGACTGCTCAACCTCAATTGTTGGAGATCTCCTAGTTGTATATGCGTGACGACGCATTAGTTGATGTTGCATGGGTTGTTGCATTCAAGTTGTATATAATGTTGTATGAATGAGTTGATAGTTGAGCTATTGTGATAAATACTATGTGATTGTGTTGTGATGAGTTGTTGATCACTAGGACTAGAGGAGAAGTTTTCAAAGTTGTTAATCCCATTGTGCGGATTGAGATAGTTATGGTGCTCTAAGAGCCCAATTTGTTTAAAAACCATCCTTGGAAAGTTGTCCCTTGGAATGGATGATTTGTTGTTCTCCTCTAGGACTTGGTTGGTCCAATGTGTGGCAAGGTTGAGGCACACGTGTATGAAGCGACCACGGTATAGGGGTCAGGATTAAAAATAAAATTTTAGTGAGTTGTCAGAGTCATCGATATATGTTATTTTCAATAAATATCAGCTATTATTAGTCTTAGACAAAAAATATTGGAGAATGCTTGAAATTTATTGAAGATAATAAATCTTAGATGCGGGAGTCACTGAGATTTATAATTTTCAATGAATTTCAAGTCTGAATAGTGTTAGACAAAATATTTGATATTGCTTGAAACTTATTGAAAATAATAAATCTTAGTGAGAAGCGGGAGTCACCGAGATTTATAATTTTCAATAAGTTTCAGCTTTTAATAGGGATAAGATAAAAATATTAGAGTTTGTTGAAAATAATAAATCTTAGTGAAATGCGGGAGTCACCGAGATTTGTAATTTTTAATGAATTTCAACTATGAATAGTGTTAGACAAAGTATTTGATATTTCTTGAAACTTATTGAAAGTTATAAATCTTAGTGAAATGCGGGAGTCACCGAGATTTATAATTTTCAATAAATGGTAGCTAATAATAGTGTTAAGATAAAAAAAATTATAGGAGTTTATTAAAAGTAATAAATCTTAGTGAGTTGTGGGAGTTATCGATATATGTTATTTTCAATAAATATTAGCTATTATTAGTCTTAGGCAAAAAATACTAGAGAATGCTTGAAATTTATTGAAGATAATAAATCTTAGTGAGATGTGGGAATCACCGAGATTTATAATTTTCAATAAATTGTAGCTAATAATAGTGTTAAGATAAAAAAAATATATAGGATATTAAAAATAATAAATCTTACCGAGTTGTGGGAGTCATTGATATTTGTTTTTTCCAATAAATATTAGCTATTATTAGTCTTAGACAAAAAATATTGGAGAATGCTTGAAATTTATTGAATGTAATGAATCTTCGTGAGATGCGTGAGTCACCGAGATTTATAATTTTCAATGAATTTCAAGTCTGAATAATGTTAGACAAAATATTTGATATTGCTTGAAACTTATTGAAAATTATAAATCTTAGTGAAATGTAGGAGTCACCGAGATTTATAATTTTCAACAAATTGCGGCTATTAATAGTGTTAAGATGAAAAAATATTGCAGTTTATTGAAAATAATAAATCTTAGTGAGTTGAGGAAGTCATTAAGATTTGTTATTTTCAATAAATTTCAGCTATGGATAGTCTTAGACGAAAAAAATTGAAATTTTTTGAAAATAATAAATCTTAGTGAAATGCGGGAGTCATCGAGACTTATAATTCTCAATGAGTTTCAAGTGTGAATTGCTATAGACAAAATATTTGATATTGCTTGAATCTTTTTGAAAATA